GGGCCCACCTGTCCTGGACCCACCTGTCCCCTGTCTGCGGCCGGGTCCTGTTGGGGAGGAAAGGCACTGTCATTTGTAGATTGTCCTAAACTTTTAGTGGATGAAATCTCTTTGTTGATGCTGCAGATCTTGTCTACGTCCGTGAGAGAATTTCCGGCAGGCCCTCCTGAGATTTGCTTCAGTTTTAGATCTTCAGTAGGTATTTGACGTACAAGACTTGGTTGTTCTTCAGCTCGAGAATTGAACTGTTTTCTATAGGAGGCAGCACGTTCTCCGTAATGCTCCAGCCAGGAACCCGTCTGTCTTGAACACCACCTCCCAGGATCTGAGTGCATCTGCAAAGTTTCTGCCCTCCACCTTATGTTTGCAATTTCATTGCGGTTGATTGAAACGGATCGTGGGAGTGGGGGTCTTCTATAGGATGGAGGTGGGATGTAGCCAGGTGGCTCCATTCCATAAATGACAGAGTGTTGTGCGTAATAGTCATGTCTGAACTCCCCTCCTCTCGGATAATAGATAGACCTGTCTTTTTGTTTGGCACCCTGGTCTAAAGCAAGCATTTCTGCGCTACCCCTGGTCTGCTGGTGAATCTCGTATGACGGAGGCTTTAAAGGCCCGCTGAACCTGGGCTTTGGTAAAAGTGCAACATGGCTGCTTGGCCCAGAATTCCTACTCCACCGCTCCCTGCCAACAGCACTACTGTAGACGTACCTACTATAGGGCCCAGAGAAGACAGTGCTGCTAATCCTCTGCTGTCTGTCAGGTAGGCTAGGTCTGGACGGAATGAGTTCTCTGCCCACGATTCCATCAGGTGACAAAACTCTAGGAAGAGACTGAGACTTTGCTTTAGTTCTGGGGTGAAAAAACCCATCAGGCGTCCTCAAGCGATACTGGTCCTGAGCCCACCTTTCCCCATCCCCGTCAGACAACTGTCTTCCCAGGCCAACGGCAGGCCTCCAGTCCTCTGTACCCAGACTTTGACATTTTCTCTCCCCGGTGACTCTTAGCTGACCAGGGGCTGCATCTGGGTCTCTTAGCCAAGAAATGTCCTCCCACAGCTGCCTCGCCTGCCTCTCTGCCTCTGCAGCAGTTATCAGGGCCTGTGGCCTCCACGCAGCAGCAGACGCCCTCAGCTCCCTCCCATCAGCATAGTCCAAGAGAATGCTGAAGTCTTGGCCACGCCTCCGCCAGTATGAAATATCTCTTTCCTCATGGCTCAGAGGCTCTGAATAGGTTAAACTAGGAACATCATAGAACCTGAAAGGACAGATAAGCTCAGAGTTAAACAGTTTCATTGGTATATACCTGTGTTTGCGGCAAATTATTAATATTAGACACAGACAAAATAAAACAACTCAACGGGACCAAGGTAAAAGCCTAAAAATCATACTTATATTTTTGGTAAATTGCACTGAAAATCATTCTTCTGAAAACAAAACGATAAATGACTAAAATAAATATGACTAAATATTTAAGGCGGCGTGTTCATCTGTTTAGCTTTGATGGCATCAGCCTTTCCGGTGCAACTTCATCAAGAAGCCCGGATACACTGTACAGTACGAGACAGAAGTGCTTGAGTCAGCGACTCCCGAGTCCCTTAAAGACACCGTGAAATAGTGATGCTACAGCAACATGATCTGCATGTTAAATTATGCTGACCCAGTCTAACGGGCTGGTCATTTGGACGTGGAACGGAGCCAAATAGTGATCTGTAACAGCAGCAAGTTAAAGAAGTCGAAGCACTGTTCGATCAGTTAGGGTACTGTTAGCAGCATGCTAGTCCAAGAGTGCTCTATGTCTGGTAGAAGGAGAAAAGAAAAATAGACATAAAAAGGTGTGTTTTGATATCACTCCTGAAGGCTGCATGTGATCCTGTCAGTATTTGCAGCATTTGCTTAAGATGGTATAAAATCGTAACTGACTTAAGTGACAGTTGGCAGGTGATAAAGCAAAGTTGCTGCGTTGGAGATAATTTTAGTAGCGGATTCATATTTACCTCGGAGGTGCAGTATGTGGCTGCGATGCACGCAGCACTGCCAAAACAATTACATTAGAGGTGGCGCACTATATCATAAAAGATTAAGTCTGAAAATCCAAGTGTCACTTCTCTGTGTTAAAGAGGGTCATTTGTTAAATTACACTGTAATTTCTAATTTCCTCCAGCTGTCGGGGTAATTCTCCCGCTCTCAGGGAGGGGGCACTGCTGAAGGAAGCAGAAGGAAACACTGGGTAATCC